CTATACATTCTTGACATCCCCTTTTTCCAATGGTCAGTGTGTTCTGAGCTGCCCCTGTTTTGACCACAAGCTTGAAGGCTACAAATCTCAGGCATCTCTCAGTCAAAACATGTTTCCCATCTGGCTGTCTTTCAGTCAAACTCAGGCCTCAAAAGGCATTTGCACTAAAACGAGTCTCAAAACAACAGAAAAGCTGTTCAGCAGACAAGGAAATCATTCACTGCAATTATCAAAGCAGAAATGAATAAAGCTATCATATACTTCTAAGTGAAACAGTGCTTGCTGGCAGCATTCAGCAGGGAAAACGCATAGATGCTTTCTGACTAAAGCACACAAATGCTTCCGAGGAGGTGAAAACTGTGCCAGTTTACCTTTGAGAGACAGACCCCACCACTGGTGTTTACGGGGGTTCATACACCTGGACTGCAACATTCATTCACCTTTAGACAACTCTAATATTTTTACTCCTTTATTAAGCTCCTTGAATTTCTTAGCATCTCCAGTATTAATAGAACAATACCAGATTTTCCAGAGAAAGGGGGTATTTGGGGTAGCTTGTATTTAAGGGGAGCAGAAACCGGTGTGAACATTCATCACGGAGGGGGCTGCTGAAAACCAGTGAGACGTGTGGCAGATAAAAGGTTTTATACCACACACACGGGTACGCCGGTATGGACACTGCACAGGAACTGACCCAGGAACACTTCCAGACTACCCTGTATCCTCCTGGCTGTAACACCCCTTATCGAGGCTGAATTCACTCTTAGACACCTCAGTGATTCACAGCGAACTTAACAGAGCCAGTTCCAAAACTTAACCCAGCAAACTGCCTCTTTGCAGTCTGCAGGTATGTGATGCACAAGGTACCAGAAAAAAAAAAAGCAGCTCCTGGAGGAGATGCATGATCTGATTCATGAGGGATGACTTCCCAAGGTCCCAACATGAAACCCTTTAATTCAGCCAGTGTGCTGGCGTGGAAGGCCACACATTTATACGGCACCTTTCACATTCCTGCTTTGCAGATGCCCTTGGTCTGCACAAACAACATTTTCATGAGCAGCCAGAGTGAACAAGAATTTGCACATGTGAAAAAAGCAGCACTGAAATGAAGAGGCTCACGATGATTATTAGTGCTACCTCTTCCTCTATAAACCAAGAATTTCTATAAAATGAGGCTACCTAGCCTTTCTTTTGCAAATCCAAGGAAACTCTTGATTGCTAGTTCAGACAGCTCACTATTTCTTAAATTAGTGTTAGCGTTTGAACAGTTGTTAGCAACCATCATTATTTTCACACTGCAGTGTACTCAACTTTCCATTTACACTAACATGTGAGATTACAACCTTAATGGATCTTGGCTACACTCAACATTATTCCATGAGCTCTAGCATCAGAGTGATTGCTACACTGCTTGCTGCCCTGTAAGAGAACAGCTGTCTAGAAATTCTCTATACAAACAGATTAATTCACTAAATACCCAGCCAGGTGGCCTGAGGTATCAGTACAGCAGGAGACTCATCTTACAGCTGTTCCATTCTGACCATTATTTAAGGTATCACAGAACTCAAATTCCATGAGTGGCATAACATGCACAAACAGATACAGGAAAAGCTGATCTAGATAAACCAGCCTGCTTTTGTGACAAAGTCACAAAGGTCCTCTGCATATGGAGTGGAGGCAGTGAGACTTACACTGGCTGTCGTGTAAGATTCAGCAGAAGCTTTCTCCTGGTGTAGCACTTCAGGACATGTGCTGTGACTTCATTAATGATCAAGTCCTGTTTGTGTGGCCGTGCCGGGATCCTCAAGACCTACATCCAGCATGCTGTAATAGCTACTGACACACAGCTTCTGGGGGAAAGCAAGAATCCTGGAGAGTTTTTATACAGCATTAAATCAAGCTTCGCTTTCCGTCCTTGTCTTATGCCTAGCAAACTGCACATTCAGAAAAATGTCATCTTTCTTTAGCCAGCTTCTTCCACAGCGTATCTTCCTTGGAACTAGATTTTCTAGTCAACCAGCACAGAAACACACTTCAAATTTTTATTAACTGAATGAAACTAGACTATAGAACATTTAGAACATTTTTATGACAGTTAGGGGAAAACTGTCCCTAGCAGCACACACAGCTGATGGAGCATCAGGAGTTATACAGGGTTGTATTCAGAGTCACAGACAGAGGACTTTGCAGTTTTCAAATTAATTTCTCAGCATATAGTCTTGTATCTAAACACAACAACAGTGGGAAACCTTGATGGACCACAGAACCTCTACAGCTCTATCACTCCCGTTTCACTTCAATATCCGACTCCCTGGAGAGTAAATGACTTCTCTTGCCTTTTCGTCTAGACACAGCACATTGTACAATAACACAATTGAGTTTTTACTGCTTTGTCTGTAAAAAATGTGCTTAATTCAGGAACGGGTAACACATGCATCTCTTGACAGATGAGTGGAAGAGCTAACACTCCAGGTGTTTCCAACTTTCTAATAGCATTAAAAACATAACTGGGAACTCTTAAAGCTTTCTAACACTACCAGCAGTAAACAGAAGAAATCACAGGGAAAGTTGGCCTGAGCGATATAATGGTCTATTGATCTTTTTCTATGATTTATTTGAGTTACAGTGAGTAACTTTCAGTTTCTTTGCTGTCTTAATGTGTTTAAAAGTCAGTAAACATAAAAGGAGAAGCAGAAGGCAATCACCTGGAAGCAAATCCTGTGTGATTTTTCCCTCCAGAGATCAAAATACAGCTGTGTTTTACTATGGCTTCCATTTTAAAACTGCATCTTTCTGTCACCATGCTTACACCTAGGAACAGTACCAGAAAGACAGAAGAGCAGCAGCATCTACAGAGCTGAGGATACTGCAGATTAGAAAGAATGAAAGCCCGTTTGGCTTTTCTCCTCAAAAAAACAAAAGGCCAAGACCTTTGATTTTATACAGTCTCACTTCTACCATCTAAAATAATTCTTTGATTTTCAATATGTATTGGTTGCCAATTTTGTTCACTAGTATTACATCAAGCTCTAGTCCAGCTTCATGATCTCATCACAGGATATTTCTTTGAGCTAATTTGTGTGTGTAGAATTTTGTTCTCTGATCCTAACATGCTATTAGTAGCTTTAAGTGTGTTGTTTAATCCCATGCCTAAGTGAAAATCCTTGAAGAATTTACTCATAGTTTCTGTGATACATTTAGCACTGATCATAGAAAGTTGCACAAAAGTTTTGGGGTTTATTTTTCTGCATTGGTTTTCTTATTGTTGCTTTTGGGTTTTGTTCGGATTTTTGGGGGGTTGTTTTTTAATTAACAAAAGGCAACTTTAAGAAACAGTGGCCGAGATCAATCAAATTAACCTCAGAATTCATTTCAGAGGCAATAATAACATGCTGAAATAATTAATCCAGAAACGGAAATAATTACCATGAAGCTGAAACAATTAATCCAGAAAAGGTTAATTGCATCATTATATCTGTTTGCAACTTCCAGTAGTCTAAGCCCTTCTAACAGCATTTTAGGAAATTCTTTTAAAGTCAGTTAGGCGCTATGGCTGGCAATAAGCAGTGCATTGTGCGATCTCACAGGGCTACCTGAGAACTGACACAAGGCGTCCCGGAGATCAGAACTGGGTGCCTGGTGCTCAGAGGAGTTACCAACCAGCCCTGCTCATGGGCTGCAGCTGGAGCTGCCTCTGGCAGCCGGGCACGTCACAACGCTCTTTAGCACACCCAAGCCACAGCCTGGGCTCAGCCAGACAGAAGCTGAGCTGTGGCTATTGTTTCTGATGCCGTTTTTAAAACTCTTCTTACAGAATGTGTATGAATCAACACTTTTTTTTCTTTTTTAAGTGCACCCGAATCTCACAGTGTTAAATAACTACACTTTAACTGTTACGAAAGAAGAAAATAAATAAGAATGAATATCTTTAGAACCACTTACCCGCTTCAGAAGTTCACCCTCTTGCTTATGACCACAAGCAACAAGCAGGGCTGCATCTTCCCTCACCTCCTCTGCTAAGCCAGAACAGGGTTATCACCACACTGAGAACAGCCACAGCAGCTGCACCACATCACTGGCAGCTACTCCTTCCCTCTGCTTTCCAGTAATCCACACTTTTGTGATTATCACAGGATGGGGTCTTGGCAAAGACTAACTCATCTAATTTACAATAATATGCCAAGAAAATCAATATCTTGAGCTTAAGAACCATCAGACACTTTAGTTTTGGTGGTCCATGCTAGTGGAGGTCCCACAAAACACCCCCATCTACTTTGGGTGTTTGTCAGCTTGCTTTTGACTTTTAAAGGAATCGAAATCTGATTCTGTTTCCATTCTTGAACAAGCTCTTATGAATTGCTCAGGCTGAAATCAAACCTCTCTTTCTGATCGGGGACCCTATTGAGCTGCTTGTTATAAAACACAAACAATTGTCAACAGAAGTTGCTGTGTACACCTGCCACTTACTCAGATCCTCAGGTGCATGTGCAGAGTCTGTCTTGACACATACACTTCTGAAAACCCCATAATCCAAACTCTAATGCAGCCACAGACCAAAACAAGCAAGCTCAAATTCCACTAAACCCTTACGCTGAGAATTTTTAAGTAGCTGAATGCCTCCATAAAGTAAAAATCAGTCAGCAGGAAGCTGTGCTACAGCTGGAAAACAGTGTCTTCACAGAAAAACTGCTGGTCACCACCACCAAAAAGCAGAATGCTCCTGCTGACACTTTGGTGGATGGCTGTCACAGGAAAGAGTAGCAAAGAATGAAGAGACAGAAGCCAGCATACAATATATGCAAGAAGCAAATAGATATGCTGATACTTACATACACCAGGAAAGATTCTGCTTGATTTGTACAAAAAACCCCAAAGAGGCTCTTGCTGGTTGTGGCTCCAATGCAAGGAAAGGAGAGAGAGGGCTGCAGTTTTTTGTTAAGGAAATTTTCAGTTTCCTTGTTTCATCTCTGCTATAGACCTAAACAGACACTAAGCCTGTTTGGCTGCCTTCTGCAAATACAAGGGCAAAAATAACACTGAACAAATGACAAGCTTTTGGCTAACAGGATTAATTACAATCTTCCTTGGTGTCAAAAAATGAAAGGAAGGAGACATCTCTGTGCTCCTGCAGAGCACTGCCATCTGTTATAACCCTACTAAGGACTAAACTTAAGACACTATAAAGCCAAGATGCATTATTTTAGGTTGGCCTTGAAATTTTTTTTAAACCACAAATCAAACCTGCATTTCCAGAATAAAGATAACCAGTTTCAGTCAAGCTCAAAGGATGGTCTACTCTCAACTGCAAAACAAGAGTTTGGATCTTAGTAGTGAAATACATAACTAGCCTTATATCTGAAAACAAACTGTGTAACTGATTACCCATGCTGTTACTGATGAAGGAAGAAATGATTTACACAAGTCTGCCATGGCTCCACAGACCACCGCACTGGAAAAATAGAATACTGCAGGACTGGTAAGACAAGGTGTGCCGAACATTACTGGCAGTCTTTTCACAGTTTTTGTACTTAATTCATCTACAACCAGAAGTTTAATTTCAGGTAAGCTGTTGGGAAGAAGGTCAGAACTGCACCAGGCTGGTAAATCAGAACCACAGCCCCACCCCAATCATTTCCTGGGCCTTATTCTATCTTTTTCTAGCAAAACAGCATTTTTGTCTTACCACAATATTCTGAATTTAGTTTCAGGAAGTCAGTACTATGTGCAGAACATAACATTTTTTGCACATTCAAAAGGCTGTAGGAAAGTAGGGCAGGAGTTATTCACTTTGTTCTAAGGATCATCTACAGGTCAGTACCACACCTGCACTGAGGCACTGAGCAAAACAAACCTGTTCCCACTGCCATGGTAAGCCTAGGAGAGAATCAGGCCTAGTAATAGGAAGTATCCTTCATACAGCTTACCAAAACATCGTCTCTTTTAAGAAGGAATTAATTCTACTGATCTTTGGTAAAAAGTCACTAGCTGTGCAAAGTGGCCTGCATAAAGGATAAGATAAAGAAGGAAAAATCAGATGAGCAGTGGATGGGAAATCCAAGGGATTACCAAAAGGGTCGGGATCTAGGAAAGACTAGAAACCTGAAAATCACACCTATTTAAACTCTAAGCTAAAGGCTGACACATACTGAACAATTTGCAAGCTTGCCTCTAGAATGGCTGTGGAACACACAACCCATGCTAAATTCAAGGCAAGTTCAGGGCACAGCATCACTAGGGATCATGCCCTTTATTGTTGCTTCTGATATGCTCTGCATTTCAGAATCAGCCAGGGGGTATAAGGAAGATCATCTTCAACTGGGCAAAGACAGCAAGTGAACTTTCTTCTTCACCAAGGGATTGCAGTTTCCTTGAAAGAATGTTTTCAATTATTCAAAAACTGGCATAGCATGCAGCACCAAGATCCTAGACCCTGAAGCTTCCTGAGCTCGGCAAGCTCCTTCAGCTCCCGGCAGCACAGTGTGAGCAAAGTCTAGATCCAAGATTACTCACTTCAACACTTCCGGATTTGTCAGAGAGTGTTCTCCCCAAAGTGGCTACGCTGCACGCAGGACACAATTATACAGTACAATTTGTAAAAGTACAAGAAATTCCCAAGTGTCACTTCACAGTCCACAAAAACCATACGCAGCCAGCACTGAAAATAACTCTGTCACTAGTTGGGGAAAAAAAGAAGATCAAAATTTACTCTTCACTGTTTTATCCATGACAAACTGGCAATAATAAAAGATACCCTATAGTTCTAGATAATGTTTTCGGCAGGAATTCACAGAACTCTAAAATTAGTTTTCGTTTTATTGTAGTTTCTTTACATTGTGATTTACGACGCATAGTAACTATTGCCTTTTACATGCAGGCCTCATTTTCAGAGAGGCAAAAACTAGACTGTTAATGCTAAGCCCTTATGGCTCATTTGCATATGGACCCAAAAGCAGTTCATATTTTATTTCTCAAGGTGTTTATAAGCAGGATTTAAGTCACTGTCAACAACAGGAATAAAATATAAATTAATGAACTTTCATTCTAATAGGCTGTTGCTTAAAAAGCCTACCATCTGAACTGTTGTTTATAGTACTGCACTTAACCTGAGTACTAAACTGACAGTTGAAGCCTGCACAGAATCCACTTTCTAACAATATCTCAATTAAAAAAGCAATAAATAAAATGCAGTATCTAAAAAAATGGCAAGTCCTTTCTCCCACCACAGTCTGAACTACATCATCTGAAACAGGTCTGGGACAGTCTTTGGGTACCAGCTATGTAGTTCTTTCAGCATCACAGACTACCCATAACAATAAAAGAAGCAATTGGAGTTTTGTACAGGATGAAAGACAGTTCCCTTGAGTGTATGTCTCAAATACCTTAAAAGGACTTGTTGTCTTTGCTCGAGATAGCTTCAGAAATGAGACACAATTATTCTGTGACCGCATGTTATCTCTACTCTGTATTGTACAGGCAAGTTGAGTCCTTTTGAAATGTGTTATATTAACCCTGATACTGACATGGGGACTTCATGCTCCTAAACTGGGAAGTGGCTTCCTAAATTGTGGTAAATTGTCATTGCACTGACAAGACGGTTAAGGCTTTAGTAGAGTCTCCAGTCGTCTGTTCTACCTTGGGATTTCCAGCTCCGCTGGTTGCCAGCTCCTTGTCAGTAAGGCCCAGGTTAGGCAAGTTGCAGAGGGAATCGGCAACAATCCACACTGTCCTCTTCTGGTCACCTCCAGACGGCACCATCAGGATTGGGACTCTGCAGCTTCTGGCAGCCTCCAACACAACTTCACCTCTCTTCACAATGCCCTGCGAATTTACAACAGGTTAAAAAAAAAAGTAGTGATACTAATACAGTATTTTAGTTCTAGCCTGTGGTTTATGGATATGTACTGAACGCCTGATAAACAATTAAGCCCTACATTTTACAATATGAATAAAAAATTCATTTAAAAGTCCTGTCAGCAGATTTACATTCATAATCATTTAAAAAAAAAAAAAAGGAAAAACAGCAAATCAAAAATCCTTGAATTGGTTTTAGAGGACACAATAGATGTATAAATTTAGTATAAATTCCTAAAAGAATTCCTGCTTAAAAGCCATAAAGTCTAAATTGATTACAAAGTTTAGAAATATTCACCTTATTTTACAGGTGAGGCATTGAGACTAAGAGAGATCGTCTGAATTCAAAGTGCTTTAGTTTGTGCTCCACTTGCATAGCACCCTCTGACTAAAGTTTAGCAGTTTGATCCAAGATTTCACAAACCTACAGAAGAACCAAAAATTCAAATCAGTTTACATGTTCACAATCACTAGATGAATTTCAGCTTTCAGATTCTTTTATTAAAGACTAATACTGAAAGACTCTATGGCTGAAGGGGGAGTTGCAGAATGTAAGTAATGGTAAATCCGTACAAAAGGAAAATAAATTCTAAATAACTTCATACTAATAGAGAAAGGTATGGAACTAAAAAGTAACAAAGGTCGCTGACCAAGAGATACTGTACTGTCATTGAACCCAGACAACAGAAGACTCTGAGCCTCTTGGATATCAAGGAAGTACATGTGGGGAAAATAATTCAGAAATAAGTGAGAACGGAATTAAAATCTACTTCTGTGGAAAAAGTAAAAGTAAAAACGAACCATCCAAAACTGCAAGTACAAGCACCTGCAATTTCCACTGGCTTTTATGGGACTTGTGAAAAAACAGGCTACTCAAGGGAAAAACAAAACCAATTAAAAAAAAGGAAATATCACCTCTGTATACCTGTTTCACTTGCTGTTTACAGAATCATTGAGCTACCAAACAGTACCTTCAGCAGTTTTTCCCCTATGGAATTGTTAAAAGTGCCTTGGCTAGAACATCCTTGTCTAGGTGTTTGTTCCAGAGAGGACAAGGTATAGAATTTATAGCTCATCAAGCCTAAAGTAAGAGCTGAACAAAGTGAACTGAACTGATGACTACTATAGCTATGATCATGTTGGCAGGACAGGCTTCCCTGTCAAAGTCATTTTGTTTTTTCTAGATATCAGAAAATTTCTCACATTTCTCTGACACTTTGACACTATCTGTAGCAGACATTTCTGTAAGC